TCTTATTTGTTCCCCCACGAAAAATGGGATACCATCTTTCTTTTGTACATATGGCCAAAATCCCCCACTGCTTCTGTACATTGTCAATCCAAGTATCATAGCTAAACGAGGAAGGAAGGTGCTTCAGAGTGGCGAACAACTTGGCATGAGGCTAGGAGGTGCATTAAAGAGCTAAAGCCTGCGAAATCTCCAGCACAAAAGCAAAGTCCATGCTTCAGAATTATCATGGGTTTTAAATCCAATCTCAGGGCAATGCCCTGATTAGAATGTTTTATAATTAAATATGTCCCCATTAATTGACTAGACTAATGCGCTATTGTGTTCATTACTTTGAGCTGTGAATGGATAAAAGGCCTTTCTGTTTTTGTAATCCAGTAATGCACTTGGATTTATTGTGTACAAAAGCATAAAATGAAGGGATTAAAGCACTGCAAAGCAGAATTATGTGCCACTTGCTACAATTTGTTCCACTGATAACCTTCTTTTAATAGGCACTTTACAAAAGAAATTTATTTTATTATCATCCATTTGCTGTGCCAAGCAGGGTTTTTAAAACACTCAGATGTCCTTGCTGAGTACCTTGATGTGTGTTAACCATGAAATAAGATGTGGCTTTTAAATAGGACGTTAATTAGTGCATTTGGAGGAAATCTTCAGCCTTGATAGCTTAGCTGTCAATGATCATTGTCTGTCTCTTGATTCATGTCATCCATTTATATTTTCCAGAGGAAAAAAAGTAGTTTACGGGAAGGCATCCCTGCATTTAAGGTTGCAATCCTAAACACACTTACTTGGAAATACTCTCCACAGAAATACGGAGCAGAGATATTTGTGTGGCTGCCCCTGTTCTGTGGAACGGCATTCCTGCTGAGATACAACAAGGGCTCACTATCTTCAGTTTATGGAAACAGTTGAAGACATTTTTTTTTGTTCTGGAAGGCTTTCCCAATGGGACAAACGAGTCTTTAACATGAGGGTCCATTTGTTAGAGTTGTACATGTTGTTTTTCTGTTTTTTAACTGTTTTAAATTATTTTATGTGTAAATTGCCGCAGCAGCAGCAGCAGCAGCAACAACTTTCTTCCTTGATACAAGCGTGAAATTAACATACAACAGGAAGGAAGAGTATGCCATGTATATGTCTGCCCTTTCCATACCATGTTATAAATGTGTATATCTATTTTTGTATCTACAGGCCAGTTGAAGACAATACTTCATCTATGTTTGTGCCCATGCAATCGGATGTAGTGGGTTCTAGTCCACAAAGGCTTACACCACAATGAATCACTTAGCCTTTTAAGGTGATGCAAAACTCTTAAAACTATAAAAAGGAACTGAGAAAATGATTTGGTTACAAAGTTGACTATTTCTATACTGGGATTGATATAGCTCAGCAAATAAAGCAAATCCTAACTAGCCCAGTAATTAGACTTCCGGCATGTGATTGTTTGGAGAGCATGGTGCCTTCCTTTGGCTTAGCAATGAGATCCTGGCCATGAGTACAGTCCTCCATAATCATCGTCCTGACTGAGGAGGTTGTGGAAGGCGGAATTGCACAGCTGAGGTTTTCCTGATGGGTGGATGTATTTTAGGTTATCTTCATCTTTTATTCTCGAAAAGGCAGCTTCCACTTAGCTCTGCTTTAAAAATAAAACAAGGCATTCTGAACAAGTGTCTCCGACTTCCGACTGCCACAGGGCCTTCTTGAAAGTTCTCAGTAGAGATACCCCAGGCCTAGAGGGAACTATACAAAACCTTGTTAATAGTCCTGTATTGGTGAAGTGAAGTCACTTTTCTGCTGTTTGCTAATGTGTCCACAGGCCCAAAAAGTAGTTTACAGGAAGGATGCTTACAAATATATAGTTTTATAAGTGAATCCTCTGCAGATACTGTACTGCAATTTGGGAAAATAAACTCTGCCCCCTGTATATAGGGAAATACAGTCTTTAGGTTTTAAGCACAAGACAGAATTTCACAGTGAGGCATATTCAATGAACTTGGCATCAAATGTGAACTGACTCCATCAGAAGGCACTGTGTTGTGAAGAGCTGATGAGACTATTTTGTACCTGGTATGTGAACAAGTTGGTCTTTCTCCCTGTGCTCTGCTTTATCTATTTCCTGTAGAGTTGGACTAAGTCCTGATTCATTCATGACCACAGCAGGTGTACCACGCCTTCAACTCGTTCCCAAGTGACAAGATAGTAATGGCTGTGTGGAGAAACTGTATGGGCAGGATGCGTGATATGGTTCCTTCCCACACAAACATTACCCATCTGCCCAGAAGAGTGACACTTGCAAGGCAAGGAACTATGTAATTTGCCTGGCTCATGTAGAGATGTTTCCTGGAGCAGTGTGGGAGTGGATCACAGGGAATCAGCTCCCACACTTCTCCAGTGTTGCAGGAATCACATCTAGCATAAAACACTAACACGAACCCTCTATACATTTACATAAGACGGTCTCATTGAACTTAGTAGAATTTATTTTTCAAATAAACAGAGTGTTGGGCTATATGGCTTGCCCCTACAACTTACCATGTGTTGGAACTATTCGCCTGACCTGCTGCCCTGTTTAACTGTAGGTCGTTATTAATTTTGAACAATTACAAAGTAGGACTTGCAGTGATAAGAAGGCATACCACAAGAGAAAATCGACTTTTACTAATATATTCAAAATTTTGGGAACCAGTGAAAATATACATATTTTTTTCTTACTGAGTTTAGTTGGCTTCTTCCTATGTAACTGCATAGGAAACTGCCTTATACTAAATTCAGCTAGGTAGCCATGTTGGTCTGACGCAGTCGAAATAAAAATAATAAAAAATAAAAAATTGTCCAGTAGCACCTTATAGACCAACTAAGTTTGTTCTGGTATAAGCTTTCTTGTGCATGCACACTTCTTCAGATACCATTTTGCCTTATACTAAGTTAGGTTATTATCTAGCTTATTACTGTCAACACTGACCAGTAGCAGCACCACAGGATTTCAGGTTGGGGGATATTCCTAGCCCAAGCTGGAGGTGACAGAGATTGAATCTGGGATTTTCTGCAAAGCAGCTGCCCCCCCATCAAGTAAATAAATAAAAATCCTTAACTGACCAATCAAGTTGCAGATAACTTGGTTTTGCCCTCCCCGTTAAAGTCCTGCCCCCTAACATAAATCTGGGCTACATCCGTGCCCCATACTACAACTTTCCCATTTACAGGTTGTTGCATTTAGTTAAAACATAATTTCAAAATAAAACACAATTACATTGATATGATAGAGAGTCACAAAAGAAAAGATGATGCTAGAATACAGGGTTGAAATAAGGCTGAGGCAGCAATTTTCCCTACTGATTGCCTTGAGGAAGGCTTGCCATCTAGTGGATCCAACAGATAAAAACATGTTGAGGAAAAGTCCCCTTAATGCCAACTGAAAGAAGTGAATTTAAGTTCTTAACTGTTCCAGTTATTCATTTCTCTTATTATACATTTTTTCCTGTACTTTTAGAAAGTGTATGATGTGATACAGGACTATTAATCACATTATACATTTACTATAAATGTAAAAAGTACATTTGCTCTTAGCACCAACAGCTTTAGATGTCACAGGTTTTTTTCATTAAACTATCTGTTGTGACCATTTCTACCTGTTACGCTAAGCCAGAAAGTAAGGTTTATCAAGTCATACTGTGTATGAACTAAGTGCTAGTTAATGCAGCCTGAGCACTTCTGCCTTGCTCCCTCCTTTAGCAAGTAGGAAAAGAAAACACCAAGTCACCAGTTTAGCATAGTGTGACATCCAAACACACAAAAAGTCCTAACTGCTAAGCTAATTCTTGCTTACCATTAGATTCTTCCATTCTGTGTATGTGGCCAAGCTAGTATGTGACCAAGCTGTGTATGTGACCAAAAATATTGATCATTAAAAAACACACAAAAACGGTTACATTGTAGAGATAGCGAGTTAACCTGAAGATATCAGTTAACATGGGACCAAGTCTGACTGAACAATTGACTAAACATACATTTATTCTTAAGGAAATCAGCCCTGGAAGGAGGACAGATCCTGAAGCTGAGGCTCCAATACTTTGGCCACCTCATGAGAAGAGAAGACTCCCTGGAAAAGACCCTGATGTTGGGAAAGATGGAGGGCATAAGGAGAAGGGGACAACAGAGGACAAGATGGTTGGACAGTGTTCTTGAAGCTACCAGCATGAGTTTGACCAAACTGCGGGGGGCAGTGGAAGACAGGAGTGCCTGGCGTGCTCTGGTCCATGGGGTCACGAAGAGTCGGACACGACTAAACGACTAAACAACAACAACATTTAAGGGTTGCATATGGGAAAAAACAAGAGACTTTGGGGACGTTAATGCTGTGAACTCCTCCCTCGTAGGTTCAGGTTGCATATAGTGTAAATAAATCATGTATCATAAGGCACCACAGTCGCTGCTGTGCCTCATTTCCAAAAGGAAACATGAACGCTGGGTCTTTCAGCCACATTATCAGGGCACCTTGCAATACTAAACTCCCGACCCTCTCCATAGGGCTGACTGGCAGTCACTTGGGGGTGCAAGGCTGTTCAAATAAATCCCTGCTCCTTAACCCGCCTGCACCTGCACTTGTGTGTTCGATAAGGAGATACAGAACGAGCTGGGAACTGGCAAACAACTTGACCCCCCCCCAAACTGTGGTGAGGCAGAGAAAAGTTGCCCAGCCGTCCTCCCGTGCCAGAAAGCACCGGCACAGCGTGGAGAGAGAGGGAGAGGCGCTACTGCAGGGGACACACGGGCTTTTTGCGCGCCAAGAGCCTTCAGAAAGATGGGGCGGGGGGCGGCTCATTTCCAGCTTTGCCAGCGTGGCTCCTCGCATTCCCCAGCTATGGCAGACGAGCAGCAGGCAGAGCATTCCTGCCTCACTCCATCCCGGCTCGCCGTAGCTGCATCTAAGCCGAGCGGCCGCCTCTTTCTCGTCCTCCCACTTTGGGCTGACGCGCTCGGAGCGCGACGGGGAGGAGCCATGTTGGGCTTCGCCCTCTGACTAGGAAGCGGCGCTCGCCGGCTAGCAGGACAGGGAGAGAGGAAGAGGAAGGGAGGAAATGAGGCTGGCGGGGCCGCGGGGAGCGCTTTCCCCTTATGCACGCGCCAGCTGAGGCGGCGGCGGCGGAGGGCTCGTCTGTGGCAGGGAGGAGATGGAGGCGGCAAAGGCAAAGATGGGCTCTGAGGACGTGCTTCGGCAGACCAGCCGGCTGGCCTCTTCCAGCGCCCTCTTGCAGGTATCCGTCGTGGCAGAGGACGGAGGCGAGGCGGTGCTCGCCCAGCCCTAGCCTCGTCCCTTTCCCTGGCTTCTCTTCGGTGACTCGTTTGCAGAAACGCCCTCTCGACCCAGTCATGGATGCCTCTTCCCGCAGTTTGAATTGCTTGCCTCCTCTCTGCAAGAGGTTTGCGCAACGGACTCGCTGGCCACCCCTGTGGCTTGGTTGCGTTTGGTTTGCTTGCTTGCTTTTGCACCCTGTCACCTGTGCGTGTGAGAGAGAGACATCCACAGATCTTTATTCCCTCGCAGAAAAGACCCTTCGCCGGCGATGACACATTACCTTGCTCAGTGGGTAGTCTCAGCTGTTGTTGGACCTCAGCTCCCATCATCCCGGACCGCTGGCGCAGCTAGCTAGGGATGATGGGAGTTGTAGTGCAACAACAGCTGGGTCCTCGAGTTTGAGAAATACTCTGGTAGAGCAGGGGACTCTTAATCTCCGGGTCGTGGGTTTGAGCCCCACATTGGGAAGAGGATTGCTGGCAGGGGGTTGGACTAGAAGTCCCTTGTATGATCCTGCATTTGCTTTCCTTGTATGATCCACGCATTTGCATTCCATTTGCATTTGTGGTCATGGAAGAATATGAGGCATGAATTTTTTTGGAGCCGGACCCAATTGGCGCATCTCCTCAGATAGTATTGTCTGTATGACGTTGTCATACTGATCACACAAGAGTGTTCTTCAGCATATGTGAACAGGACTATTGGCTTCCCAATAGTCTATTGGACTGTTGGTGTCCCTGTACAAGTACACACATGTATAGTATGGACATGCTCTATACATGGGGTTTGTGCAGCCTCCTTCACATGTATTTTGGAGCATCTTTCACAAAAGTGCCTTCTCTAGGGATAAGTAGTATTTGTAAAATGTTCCTGAGCATCAATTTCCCAGCAATGCCCACTATTTGTTGTTAGAATAAATTCAGAAAGCTGTGAGTTCATGCGATTCAGTTAACTGCTTCAAATAATTTGTGACTTGTGGCAGAATATGTGCATAGGAGAGAGCTGTTAATCAACAACACAAAATTGTGTAATTTTAGGGCTGTTCCTTATACAGTGGTACCTCGGGTTAAGTACTTAATTCGTTCCGGAGGTCTGTACTTAACCTGAAACTGTTCTTAACCTGAAGCACCACTTTAGCTAATGGGGCCTCCTGCTGCTGCCGTGCCGCTGGAGCACAATTTCTGTTCTCATCCTGAAGCAAAGTTCTTAACCCAAGGTAGTATTTCTGGGTTTGCGGAGTCTGTAACCTGAAGCGTATGTAACCTGAAGTGTATGTAACCCGAGGTACCACTGTATTCATGTTTGTGTTCTTTGCTTTCTGTATGTCTCAGCATAAATAAACAGATTATTTATTTAGTGTTTGGTTCCTTGTGTCTGAGTAAGACCTAGGTTCAAATTCCCACTAGGCCAATAACGCTCACAGGGTGACCTTGACTTAGTCACCTCTCAGCCAGACCTACCTTACAGGGTTGTTATGATGTTAATAAGGAGAGCCACGTACATCACTTGAACTCCTTGAATAAAAGTTGGGATATGAGTGCAATAATAAAGTGACTTCCATTTCAGGAATGCGGTTTTAGAAGCCTCAGGTCACAACCATATATATGCACACAGTGGAGACCATTTCCCCCAGGACTAATGGCATCAGGTAGATTTTCACTGGGATTGCTGCTGGACAGGGAAGGAACAAATTTCTCCCTATACTCTTCAGTCCTGAGGAAAATCTGTCCTTTCCTCACCTGCTCTAAATTAAAATCAAACAAACCCTGATGTGCTTTCAAGTGATGTTCTAAGTGTCCTGCCTAGCTTGGTGCTGAGAGGAACATGCATAGAATTTTTGTGGTTGTGTAGTCTACATGGCTGTCCTCCCATGCTCAAAATTATTATACAAGAGAAAAAGTGCCTATGTTTTCCTAAGTTTGAGTTAGGCTGCTGGTTATACTCTAGGTTGGAATGTGGGAAGACAGGGCCAAGTTCACACGAAATGCTAAATCATGATTTAAAGTTGCAGATCATGTCCTGCTCCCTCCCATGTGGCTGGGAGGACGAATTTTGATTTTAGTTTGGTTTTGAAGAATCTTCGCTTAGTGTTACCTATGAACCAGAGCTTCAGTGGGCCTAGTATAAATCTATCATATTGCAGCCTTAGTACTTATGGCTGAGGTAAAATTTGTATTCAAGACTTCCAGTTTACATAATTAGTAAGTTGCTCCTTGAATCTGATTTTGTTTACATGAGTTGAAAGCTGGTGTAAATTTATTTCCTGTTTCACACTATTTATTTATTTATTTATTACAGATACTGTTCCGCCTAATTACATTTGGGTTAAATGCTTTTACCCTACGATATGTTTCAAAGGAAATCATTGGCATTGTGAATGTAAGGTAATAAATAGTAATCTGTTTCTTTTAAGGTATGAGTGATTCATGATTCCAAATTACGGCAGTTTGTCTCACTATATTCTGTTCTATTTGATTTCTTTTTAAACCTGGGCAGTGACAAAGTAAATTACTCCACTTAACATTTTGCTTGGCAGGGATGCTGCAAAGAGACATTTTGAATGGTTTAGTTGAATTAATGTCTGCTGTGTTGTCTAAATGCAAATTTGAATTTGTGATTTGGTTTCTTGGACAAATGAATTTCCATCCTCTAGTATGCAAATCTATAGTACTATTGAGAGTGCTGTGTTTATGCAGTAGTTTATGACTTGGGTGGAGATTCAGTAATTTTTAGTCTTTCTTGAAATATGATGTGTGGTGTGTACCTCTCTGATTTTTATTATATTCTCATGGTGTTCTTCTGGGGCGGGCATTCCAATTCCACCAAATGTTAGTTTTGAAACATATATCTATTTTTATTGAAAATCTCATCTGTCTTCTGGACTGCAAAGTTCTCTGGTTTTTCTTTTCTTTTTGCTAGCAGTGAATTGAAATATTGAAGTTGTTTGCATGCTGTACTGTTCTTATGTTGTTGCTGCTGTTTTATCTTGATGGTACTGTTATAACAATGCCAACATATAACAACGTTAACATATAAAAAACAATTGATACAAAATGTACTGCTGAAACATTTGTCTGCCTGAGGCAGCAGTATAGTTTTGCATTTGGTGATATGTTACTGTAACTGTTGGCATTCCCTGCCCCCAACCACTTATAAGGAGACAAACAAAATTTGGATTGGTTGATTAACCCAACCTTCTGTGATGTTTATTATTGGAAGTTTTTGTCTCATTGACAGTTCATCTTGTACTGAAATTACTCATTTTCCTTTTTTAAAACGTTTAGGCTGATGCTGCTTTATTCTACAGTTGTTTTCTTAGCCAGAGAGGCATTCCGAAGAGCTTGTCTGAGTGGAAGTACAAGGAGAAACTGGACCAAAACATTTAATCTTTTGTGGACAATGTATGTTTAAATAAGACACTGGAATCCTCAAATTAATTACTCTCATTAGCTCACTCAGTTAACCCTTCCCCCATTTCTCCTCTTATGTCTAAGTACATAGTAAAAACAAAAAACTACCATCCTAATTTATTTTCTCTGGCAAGGGTTTCACCTGTCATCCTGGAGATCATACTTGCATTTTCAAAGATTCAAAGCAGATGTTCCACTTGCTGTAGGAAGCTTTATTCCACAGCAGGCAGTGAAGTATTATAGGATACATTGGCTCATTTGGCTTCCTACATTTTAAGGGAACAGGAAGGATCCCTGGAATGATAGGTGGCCATCCTAGTTTCAGTTTGTAGCACTTCTGATAATCTCAGAAAGGTTAAATCGTTTCGAAGTGCCTGTTTAATTTATCTGAGTTTTACATGTACTTTTGAAAAGGTAGGGCAGCCTCTTGCTTTCAAACCATGAATGAATCAAAGAGTAAGCAGTTTAGTTTTTTGGTTTAGTTAAGGTAGAAAATGGAATAAAGGGACCCCTGACCATTAGGTCCAGTCGTGGCCGACTCTGGGGTTGCGGCGCTCATCTCGCTTTACTGGCTGAGGTAGCCGGCTTACAGCTTCCGGGTCATGTGGCCAGCATGACTGTGCCGCTTCTGGTGATCCAGAGCAGCGCACGGAAACGCCGTTTACCTTCCCGCCGGAGCGGTACCTATTTATCTACTTGCACTTTGACATGCTTCCAAACTGCTAGGTTAGCAGGAGCAGGGACCGAACAACAGGAGCTCACCCTGTCGCGGGGATTCGAACTGCCGACCTTCTGATCGGCAAGTCCTAGGCTCTGTGGTTTAACCCACAGTGCTACCCGGTCCCAGAAAATGGAATACTTACCGGTAAATAACTCAGTACCTATCTAAACTGCAAATGAAATATTTGAGCTTATCTGCGGTGCTGCGTTTCTGGGATTTAACTCTTGTTTCATGAGAATCTAATGCATATATTAACTACCATGTCTACATGAAGCACATCTGGGGGTTGATGTAGCTTCTAAGTCAGTGTGCAGAAAGCTGCCTTAGATCAATGTAGTGGTTGGGGGTTTGTCAAATGGAAAAGTGTAGATTTCTTGAGGAATTGGGTATTTGTATCGGAAAGTTTTTAATGTTTTATGGTGTTTTTATGTTTATTGGAAGCCGGCCAGAGTGGCTGGGGCAACCCAGCCAGATGGCTGGGGTATAAATAATAAGATGGCTGATGAATGTCCCATGCATTCTAAGGGGTAGTGTAAGTAACTTAGAAGTAGCCTATAAATACAGATGTACAGAAAACAGATGCACATATTTTTGATGTTGATTTTATTTGGACTCCTGGCTTGCAAAACATTGAACTTAGCACATTTATAAAAATTGCAGAGAAAAGGACAACATGTGATACTGTCTAAAGGACTCATCTTTTCAATTTCCATAGAGTCCCCTTGGGCGTGTGTTGGTCTGTATTCCTGGGCTGGGTCTGGCTAGATATACTTGAAGTTCCTGATGAAAATGCTGTTCCTTACTACAACTTTGGAGTGGTTGCCTTTGGTCTTTCCGCTGTAATTGAACTTCTAGGTGAACCTTTTTGGGTTTTAGCCCAAGTACACTTATTTGTAAGGCTAAAGGTTAGTAAAATGTATGGCAGCATTTGTTCTTGTTTGGGTTTTTTATTAATGTGACATATATAAAAACGATATATAATTAGATGGAGACTTCCCTTGGCTGCTTCCAATGAAGCAGTTGCTTCCCCCCTTTTCAACCCTAGCATAGCCTTGTTAAAAAAAAGCGCTGTTTAATGTGCTTGTTGTTAAAAAAAAACGAGCCAGATTCACCTCTAATTTGGTGAATTTAATATAAAATATAAATATGCTGATGATGAAGCAGTATCTTTTTTAAAAGCTGAGTTTTTTTTAACATTTTCAATTTCGTTTAAATAAAAACTTTTTTATTGGTATTGATTTAGGGAGCTGATATAAAATAATTTGTCTGACTGCACCACAATGCTAAACCATGGTTTATTTAACCATGGTTTAGTGTTGTAGGTCAAACCTTATGCTCAGCAGCTTAAGTATGGCTTGTACGGTGCCATACTAAACTTGCCTCTTAATGAAAATAGGCTTTAATTGCACGAGACTATTTGTCACTATTACAATTAAACATTCTTAAAGATGTTTGAAAGGCAAAATCTGATCACAGGATTTTTGAAGCCAACACATGTAAGAATTGCCATTAGGAACATAGTGTCTATGTCTAACATGCTTTTTGTATATTCTTTGTAGGTAATTGCTGAAAGTCTCTCAATCATTTGCAAATGCTTTTTAACAGTTATTTTAGTAGTTACGTATCCTCACTGGGGGCTTTACATCTTTTCTTTGGCCCAGGTATGATTTCTGCAATTTTTACTATTGTCTCTTTGATCTGATATAAGAATTTTAGTTGAAGAAATTAACATTATTTTTGCTATAGCTTCCATGCTTTGGTCCCTTCAGTTTTTCATGGATAAAAGCAATGTTGCAGTCCACACTATTAGTACCTGTATCCCAATATTAGGCTAGCTTAAGATAACGTCAGATCAGGGGCATAGTCATACACAAATGCACTTTTATTCAACAAATGTTTACTTTAAAATCGACCCATTATACATGGTTCATAAGGCTGTTGGGTAGATCAGTTTAAAGTCAGTTGTATTTCAGTTAAGCATATAAAGAAAATATTATTTTGGACTGTTAGGCTGCAACGCTTCACTTTCATGCTTTGGCGTAGCCCCAGTGAACTGAGTAGACATATATAGAATTGTGTTGTTAATTTAGGAGGAAAAAAACTATAAGAAGTTGACCTTTTTCTGGTCCATTTAAGTCCCCCACAAAAACTGGTGTGGAAAGGATCAGGAATGAACTTGTAATAGAACTCATGAAAACCCTGGCTCTAATTTTTGAGAATTTTCTTAATTGTATTAATTTGGATTAATGGTAAGGATAAAAATGCAAGAAGTAACTACAGAGCCTGGATAGCTCGGCTGGTTAGAGCATGGTGCTGATTATGCCAAGGTTGCAGGTTCGATCCCCGTATGGGACAGCTGCATATTCTTGCAACGCAGGGATTTGGACTAGCTGATCCCAGGGTCCAACTCTACAATTCTATGATTCTATGAATTGCAATAAATAAACTGAGCATCATAATACCAGATTGTTCATTGAGCATCTTTGTGATAACAGTCAACAGCATGTTAAGCTCCTCTATAACTGTTGTATTTCAGTGCTTTGATTTAGGACTGCACATCCTTAAAGGCCTTGTGAGAACTGCACAGTCACCTGTGTTCTGTTGATGAGGTTTCTGCAGTTCCAGCAGTCTGAAAAAGGCCCACTGCAATTGCAGTTTAGGCAATCCCCACATGGAGGCGCTGGTTCATGCATACAGTGCCAGTGCTGTGAGGCCTTAAGCCTGGGAGCTGCCATCATGTCTGAACTGGAGCTGAGTACTTGGCAATTGAATTTTACTGGTATTTTTGTTGCTGAAGTGGAAATGCAGCAATAAATGGTATGCTGTGTAGCTAATGAGATTTTGTTCTTGCAGCTTCTATACACCAGCGTTCTGGTTTTGTGCTATATAATGTATTTCATGATGTTTCTGGGTTCTCCTGAAGCAACCAAAAAATCATTTCCAGTTACTCGTATGATATCTGTTTTACCTAATTTTGGACAAGATGAGGTAAGTAAAACAGCTTTATGTTAAAAACCAACTATTCATAATTTTGACGCAAGAAAAAATGATGATCATGTACAGCCATTGTCCCAGGTTAATTCTTATAGTGAATCTCATTATAGGTGACTTGCTTAGTGGCCATCAAATCAGTGCCATGCTGCCATTTTCAAAGTCTCTTTAACTGCATTTCACCTGTTAAATTTTATTGCCTGGAAAAAATAATCCATGCTTTCATTCTTACAACAAATACCTTTCTAAAACTTCATACCTCAAATGGTTGACTGACTTTCATTTAAAAGCTATTATTATTATATTTCTATTTCCAACAGAGTAGCCTCTGTTCACCAGCTACTCACAATTTCCCATATATAATTTAACAAAAACGTGTGGATTTTTATGAACAGCATATCCCAATATTTCTTGCATTACATTTATAAGTCTCAACATAATTTATATTAGTGTGGATTTTCACTTTGTATGGTCTTCTTTTTAGCATAGCATAGCTTTTAAATATATGCATTTATATTTCCAAATTTCTCTAGATATTAAAGTTCCATGTAATTGTCGTTTTTAAAATGTTTTCTTAGAATGTTGGATATAGTGGCTATTTTGATTTCCCTACATCTTTTGCTATATCTTGCTGCCATTTTACCACAGGTAGTGTAATTTCTTCTGACAAATTCCATAATAATACATTATTTCTGTGAGTCAAAGCAAAAATGTTTAAAAGAAGCCAACACTCTGGATGAAATAAGGTTTTTCTATATACACGTTTTTACTCCATTACGTTAAGCCAAAATATTATCTCAAAAGGAGCTTTACAAACCTTTATGCTTAAATTAATATTTCAGCTATAAAAATACAGTATCATCCCCAGTATTTTGATTATATGTGCCAGATACATTTATAAAAGACGACTTGCATGAATTGAAGATGCTGACTCGTCTGGTGCACAATACATTCAATAAATTGTGGAGCAGAGATTAAATTTAATATAGTTAAGAAATCCATGCATGAAAAGAAATAAAGGCCCCGTTTTTCAGCCTCTGTATCATTGAATATATTAAGGTGAAAGCAGACCTTCTAACTTTAATGGAACTTGACATTGCTCGGTTTGCATAAAGTTTGTAAAACTACTCTGAAATATTTCAGAGAGGAAAGGGCTGAGGTGGAATGAACTACTGTAAACTAGCCTTATTAAGTAAGAATACAGTTTCAGCTACTCTAATATTAGATTTAAATTTTTCCTCCATAGAATTCCTAGTTATATAACCAAAGTATTACATTTAAATCTCCAGAGACTATTCTTGTCTCATAGCTCAGTAGATATATTCGACCCTCTTTTGTCTATAGCTGATCCTAGCTAAATCTTCCTTAGTGGGGATGGTATTGCAGGGAAGTGAAAGAAAATATTAACACTGTATTGTGATAAAAAGCAGCACACTTGACTTTTATGAAAAAGCATAAATTAGCTTAAATGGCAGTGAAGTATAGCTGCTTTGGTTGTTCTGTTAGGAATTTTGAAAAACAGCTTACATACTTGTGAAGGAAACTAACAGTGCAGTAGCCATAACATAAGGAGGAATTTCCATATTCTGTATGGAAATATTTATAATGAGTATTTATAAGAATACATGTCTGAGACCAAGCTGCCTGGATTACTTTACTAGCAAAATATTAATTGCCGTTCAGAATAAGAGAATGAGAGTACAGGTTTACATAGCATATTAGATTGTATTGTTGAATTTAATATTTGATTAGTTATAAGATTAATTGTACCTAACCAGATCTATAATATCATGCAGCAGAAAGTTTACCAGTCAAAACTCTAAATAGCAACAATTTGCCTTTTTTCTTTCTGCAAATAATATTTCTAATAATTGCATGCTTCTCCCTTTCATGTACTTACTCAATTACAGTTGATATAATAAAATTCAAGCTTCATCGAAACTGTTTTTCAGAGTAAAGCTTAATGGTCACAAAAATATTAAGAGTGATCAAATACCAACAAGCAATTATCATTTCGAAAAGCATACTTGGCTAGAAACCACTTCGAGCAGACTTTAATATCAATAATTTTTTGCATCCTGCCATGGCATCAAGGTATAATTAGGCAACTGAAATAATTTAAATACCTTTCACTTCAAAAGGCCTTGTCTTACAAATGTCTGTCTGCTTTGCTTATCAGAAAGCTGAAGCTTGCTGTTCTGAGATATGTGCTTGAGGAGTATGTAACTGTTCCTATCTACAAAGTCAAGTGAATTTTTTGTTTGTATTCTTGGTGCAAAAATGTATGCTGTGTCTGATTTGGATGATGGAGCGCTGGTGTTGGATCTGAACCAACCATGTCTTTGTGGCAGTTAGCTATCGCCTGCCCTAATTGTGCAGGGAATTTTGTGGCAGCCTGGAGGGCCACAGTGTAACAACCCGTGGGCTACATGAAACTTGTACAGCCCTGAGCAGAGTACCAAAAGGGTTTGTAATTCTGAGTAGCCAGTTACAGAGTTCTCACGGATGATAGTATTGTATGAACTGATGCTCCATGGATGCAGTTCTGCTGCAGTTGCCGTGATGTAGCATCTCCCAAAGTGCTGTGACTGTAGAAATCATGATAGGAATTTATATGTGAAGCCATTTCAACATAATCCTTGCACCTAGAATACGTCTCAGGGTGCCATGTCAAGGTTGTTCACCTGTGCGAACCAGCAATAGATAGTATTACGTGCATGTTGTACACAGTGTACTGGTCATATTGATGTCTTAGGAGTAATAATTCCTTCAGTACTTCACAGTAATTTTATATCTATTTAACTTTCAGGAATTTGTTAACTGGGAAGAGGCTAAATTGACTTGGAGTTTCTTTAAGCAATCATTCTTGAAGCAAGTTTTAACAGAGGGTGAGTATGATAGCCTCTTCAACATCAATTTAGCCCCTCTCTGCAAACACCTACGCCCAATATTTTGCGGTTTCCAGGTGTTTGTTTTTATAGCTTGGGCTTAGACAGCTAGGAGAAACGTGTTTGTTGTTGAAAGATACCAATTTGGTTTTGCATATTCATTGGAATGTGAAAGTTGTAGATAAAATATTTAGGAAGGCATATACTTACTTTGGGTTTTCTCCTTGGTCCTTCATGCTGTGGTTTCATTGTTAAATATTCCGATATGCACTGAATGCTTAGTGGAATTGTGTCACTATGGTGAAATGATGACATGGTATGTATATAATATCTTTTTATTCATATGGACCAAAAATTGTACAATTGGCACTTGTAACCTTCGGTAAAAGTTTATTAGCAGCTCATAATCATTACTGGACTTGGCTCTGAGCCGATGTTGAAATAATAATTGATCAGATGTCTCTAACAAAAGCTGTCTCCCCCTCCCTTTCCCCTCTCAAGTATCTATCACCTGAGATATCTCTCAGATCATTCCTAGGGTTCTAGTTCCACAGCTTCAGAAGTTTTGTCGTAGTAAAGTCGTTACATTATTCACTTTGCTTAGATCTTATTTTTCAACTTCTTTTATTTCCTTACGCGGTTAGCGATACGTTTACAAATATCTATTGCTCCAAAATGCAGGGCTGTAACAAATGCAGGGATGGAACGGCTGAGAAGCAGATTTTGGCAAAGCATTAGAAAAAGTCTGCTAATGGTAAGAGCTCTTTGACAGGGGAACCCACTGCCTTAGGAGGTGGTGAACTCTCCTATACTGGAGATAATTAAGCAGAAACTAGATAGTTATCTTTCAAGGATGCTGCAGTTGCATCCTCTTGAAAAATCCTCCTTTCAAAAACAATTCTCCACCAATTAATAAGAGAAGGAACCACATTTGAAAATTATATTAAAAAGGTTTAGTAAAGTAGATTTGGAAAAAAAGAAAAGAAAAGGGAGATAAATCCTTATGGGCAGAACACAGGCTTTTTGTTGCAGGTATCTATCTTCTGAGATGGTCAAGGTGTGTTTTATTAGCATCTGTCCTTTCATTCTATATTTTGCAGCCTTCTCAAGTGCCTGTACTTCCTAAAGTTCATTTGATTTCCACAGCTGGGCTTCCTTCTAAGAGCAAGCGGGTGGGAAGACTGCCTACTGTGTGCCTGAAAACTTTATTTGTTTTTAAAGTGATGCCTTTTTTACTTCTAAAGAAATAATCAGTACAGAGATATATTTTTTTTTTAAGATTAGCGGAAGCTCTTCCATTAAAGACAAAATCAGGAAGTCTACTGATCTCTGCAGCCAACTTCCACAGCTTCACAAGTGTCAGTTAAAAGCTATGGGGAAGATATCATGTGGTAATGTCTCCTATGAGATATTTTGGGGTCAGGAAATGGAGGCTTCAGAATCCTGGAGAAATCTACAAAAATCCTAAAGAAATTCTGAAGTACCTTGAGAACGATGCAGAAAAAAAATGGAAGCCTCTTTTGCAGGAGAAAGGAAATTTTCGAGAAATTGGAATACAAGATTCAGCATAGTGCTATCCTGCGCTGCAGATTCTGCATTGAGCAAGCTGGGAGTAAATGACCTCCAAGATGGCTACCAGCTCTTTGATTTTGTGATACTGAATAGCAGTCACTGGGTCCGACATCTCTTGTGCTCAGGATAAGTTTGAAATTTCTTGTTGTGCAACCGCTTGTAAGTATAATGGAAAGATAAATAAATACTAATATTAAGTATTACTTTTGTAGGTGAACGGTATGTCATGACGTTCCTGAACGTGTTAAATTTTGGAGACCAGGGTAAGCAAGACATTTTTTTATATTACCTTGGTTCTTGAAATTGGAAGAAGCGTTCTGGGCTTACTTACTGTGGTTTGTTTGCACCAACCAGCATGCTTTCATGCTCTCCTTTAAACCACAGTTTATTCATGTGAATAAGGCCAGTAAATGGTAATCTGATTCCACATTCATTTAGAAATGTGGTAAGTCTGCAGATGAATGGATATAAAATAAGTGCAAAGGCGGCAGCTTTCTTTTTAATTTGAATATGGAAATGCATTTAATTATGTTTGGAACTTTAAAAGTGATTTACCTCTTCTGCTAGTGCAGGGCTGTCCAACTTCCAAGAAACTGGCAGTGATCTATCCATTGTTGAGCTTTTTTTGGAAAAGCTTCATCAAAGTTGTTGAGCTATTTGGGGGGAGGATGAGCCAAAGTTGTTGGATCGACCAAGGGCACCCTGTGATCGACCGGTAGATTGACCTCTTGGACACCCCTGTGCTAGTGGAAGCCAGCACAAGGACTCTTGCTAGTGCAATAGGACTTTCTACCATTCTACCCCCATGCACCCATCACACCACCCTCAACTCCACTCTGGAGTCCCAGGAGAACCCTCAAAACAATGCATGGGGGGGGGGAAGATTGGGGAAATTGTTCTGTTGGGCAAGCAGAAATGTTTGTACTGGAACGGTTGCCTTAAGTTCTGCATCCATTTAATTTTTTTCCTCCTTCTTTTAAACCAAGCAATAATTTTACTATTAAACACTTAATTAGATGTTTCTGTTTATTTATAAAGGAGTGTATGACATAGTGAACAACCTTGGTTCTCTGACGGCTCGATTTATATTTTTGCCAATAGAGGAGAGTTTTTATGTTTACTTTGCTAAGGTTCTGGAACGTGGAAAAGATACCAGGTTTCAAAAACAGGTAAATTAGTCTTATTGTTCAGTAGTCTGAAAATGTACATTTAAAGCGAAGGATAAATAACGTTTATTGATTTAAAATTAGTGTATGCCAACTTTCACTGGGCATTTTACATAAATAGAATAATTCCTGGGGTTGGATCCAATGTTGTTGATAGGGAGGAGACTATTTTCACCTGCTTGCCCCTTTTCTTCTCTTCCAAAACATCCCACACTGTCCCGATGGGTCCTCTCTACCAGATTTGGGGATGTGATGGGGGCTTCAGAGGGGAGGGTGAATATATGGGGGGAAAACCTTTTGTTTTCTGCTGACGGAAGCCTCCTCTAAACCAATAAGTTTTCTGTTATCAGGGTACCATTGGATAAAATCCTTTCAAAATACTAGGTTTGACAGATAATTATGGGGGATGAAGTGAGAATAAAAGTTAATTGTGCAGTCATTATCAGAGATAAGTAGATGATAAGGTTATGGCCGTTGTCTTATTTGTTTCAATTTTTAACAATGGCTTTTAATACTTTTTTCCCTTCATAAGTAGCCTTGAGTAAGATTTATCATAGAATGAGTATGCATGTTGAAATAAATAAATCAAAATAATGGGTTGTATTCAGTGAATATCTACTCACAGTAGAACTGTTGAAATTAAATGTTGGTTGAGTACAAACCAGTAAATTTAAATAATGCTGTGGTCCTGGTGTGTATATTTGTCAATCTACTGAAATTATATGGTTGGAGGGGGGTCTTCGGTTTAAAAGGACTTGGGGCAACTGAAGAATGTGTATTTGAATGGGACTTACTGTGGTTAGGAGTGAGCTATTAGTGTCTAAAGAGACGCTGTGCCTATTTTTAGTAGAGAAGCTAAGGTATGCTCATATATCTCACAGGAGGATATTGTAAATAAAGTATTAGATGAGTTCAGGGTCAAATGCTCTAGTTAAGCATAGTTTTAGTTCAAGAACTATATTCTATATCATACAGTACGATCTCTTATTTTTAATTTTTAATTATTTTCTTCAGAGGTAGAAGTTGCATACTGTTGTGTAATTTACCAGAAGTGTTAGTGTTCTTGGTTTTCTCTGATGCATTAGAAGCTAGTTTTTGTCAACCTGTTTCCTTTGTCACAGCAGATTCTCAGGCATTTCTGATCTTCTATTTAATGAAGGGTTTTGTGCAGATTAATTAAGTTCTGCCTGGAACTTGCAGCACATTTGATATATAAATATGGCTGCTATTGAATATGTTCATACTTCTAGACACAAATAGTCTACAATTATTATTGAAAATTATTATAATTTGCCATTAACTAGCCGAGTAAAAATAATGAATTGTAAAATCTAATTATTCCATATATAAATTTAACACAGTAATCTGGCATATGTTGTTTTGTTTTGCCTATTAAATAAATGCAATTCTTTTTTAGGATGATATCTCCATGGCAGCAGCTGTATTAGAATCACTGTTGAAACTTGTGCTTCTGATTGGCCTGACTATTACAGTTTTTGGTTATGCATATTCCCAGTTGGCACTGGATCTTTATGGAGGTTCAATGCTCAGTTTGGGATCAGGTAATGTCACATCGCAGCTGCCTTTCTGAAAAGTAGCTTCATTTTGTGAAAGCTTCCTCAGTTTGCTTTTCATATATGAAAGTACTATATCCACATGGTAGAACTAACACAGAGAATCCGATCCATTCGCATTGCATGCCCTACGATGTCTGTTTCAGAAATGGTGCTTTTCCTTCTGTTCGGAAATTTCATTATGTACCGTATTTTTCGCTCTATAAGACGCACCAGACCACAAGACGCACCTAGCTTTTGGAGGAGGAAAACAAGAAAAAAAATATTCTGAATCTCAGAAGCCAGAACAGCAAGAGGGATCGCTGCGCAGTGAAAGCTGCAATCCCTCTTGCTGTTCTGGCTTCTGGGACAGCTGCGCAGCCTGCATCCGCTCCATAAGACGCACACACATTTCCCCTTGCTTTTTAGGAGGAAAAAAGTGAGTCTTATAGAGCAAAAAATACGGTATACCTTATGGAAGAGCAATCTAGGATGGTTGCAGTATAACATTTTGCATGTCGCTTTTAGTGCTGAGAGAAACAGGACATCTCTTTTCAGCAGTGTAAATCATTGTATTCTTGAGTACTTAGCCCTCTTGAAGATAGTAATCACTACAATATTGGGATATAAATGTTTAAAAGCTCTAAAAAGAAGATAAGATGGATTCCTCAAAAAATCGATCCAATACTGATTAATAGAGGAACGTTCATTTTCTATATTATATGCTGCTTCTCAGCAGAACCGGACTTAGATCAGGCTTCCTGGCATGCAGTTTGAACTTTGTGGTTTTAAAAATTATCAGTTAGAACAGTTAACTGGAAATAATCAGCAGCTACATTCATTTCTAGATAAACATGCATAAGATCAATCTGTATTAGCTGCTATACTGTCTTCAAAAAGGCCTTTGAAACTGTGTGGCAGGGTTCCTAGTAAGAATTGTTGTCCTGTTCCAGTTAGGGGCGTGAACTCACTTCAGAGAAATTGTGAACCCAGACTGAATCAGGCTGCTTTGGAGAGATTTGGTAGCTGTTTGAAGGAAAGCAGAAGCCCTTCAGATTGGTTTTAAGCTAATCAGACTGTTCCTGAACATCCAGGCCTAATTCAGAGGCACATAGACACTGGGTCTTTTAAAATTCATACTTTCCCCCCAGCTCTCCATATAAGCAAAATGCCAGGGAGGGAAGGAGGAGGAGCTTTGAGATTGATAGCACTATCAAAAAATAGAGAAGTAAATAAAATTTCTATCTCACCCTTCTTCCCAAAGGAGCAGATCCCATCTTTACTCTTCCAATATCAAATTTAAATGTGACTGCTAATCCCCTGTGTATTTCACCAATTTTCCCATGACATATCTCTCTCCCTCTCTCTCTCTCTCTCTCTCTCTCTCTCTCTCTCTCTCTCTCACACACACACACACACACACTCACTCTCACTCTCTGTTAAGCAAACTCAAAACTTAAAGTCTACTTGCATAAACATCCCTGCACCTATTTTTTCTGATATTTTGTAGGCTTCATCCATTCACAAACTGCTACTATTTCTGTCAAGTTCATCCAATTCTGTAAAAAAGCAAATAAGCTGTCACTGCTTATTGATTCTCCCGTTATAGTCAATGGGGTGGCATGAAGCTTCACATTTTCTAAAGTGAAGTTCTGATTCAGTCACAAAGTGAAAAGTGTCCTCCAAAGCAGTCTGAACTGAATTGACTCACTTCTTGAAGTGGCATTGAAATTGAATTTTGTATTTGGTGCATGCCCCTAGTTTCAGTCAGAATTGGGTACAGTGGTATCAGATGGAATATACTTTTTGTGCTTCTGTTATTTATTTCAATAAAGTCCCCATCTAGAAGTGATAATTCATCATGGTTGAAGTGAAAAGGGAGGAGGCCATGTGTCCATTTGAATTGTGAGACCAGGTGACTGAGTGGAAGGTAACAAAGCAGAAGAAAGGAAGGTCTTCTTCCTCTCTTGAACATATATTGAATTTTGCAGATGCCAAGAGTGATATGGGGTTGGGGAAAGAAATCAAGGAGCTCTCCAAAGTATTGTGGTAATAAATTACTCCAGTCTCCCTCATATTGGTTGGATAAATGCAACAAAAAAGGGCAACATTTTCTAGACTGGGTCTTAGAACTGCTTGTCATAGACCCACCAGAAGAGTGGCAACAACCCTGGACTAAATTCTAAATGTTGTCCGTGACTTAGTACAAAATGTCGTACTGTAGGTGATTTCTGACTAAGTCATGCTCAGAGTAGTCTCACTGAAACAAATGGACCTTCTCAGAGTATTACTAACATTGGATATTGGCCATTGTGTCTTGCTGCTCAAGAAACAGTAGGGATATATTTTGTTCTGAACATGATTTATTTTTTTTTTAAATAACATGGATTGCAAGTTGACAGTCTGATGCTGTTATAATTCATTAATGACATGTTAAATTGCGTTAATGCACAGATCTCAGCAATGAGGGATTTCATTTTACTAATCTTCTTGTCATAATATTTTCTCAGGGCCAAGTCTCCTGCGTTGCTATAGTTTATATGTCTTGCTGCTTGCTGTTAATGGGGTAACAGAATGTTTTACATTTGCTTCAATGTGTAAAGAAGAAGTGGACAGGTGAGTTTAAAAAGGCCATAGTTCCATACTATTATTTAGCTTTTCTTTGATTGCATGTGACTTTGTATGAGGATATTTTATACAATACACACCTCAGAATAATGTGCCTGATAACTGCTTGATGTGTCCCATTGCTAGAAAATGTAATGATATGAGGAATAAGCGCTTACATTTGAATATCTTACGTTGTTGGGAATCCTGGGAACCTTCTGAAGGGTGTGGGTTATAATGACTCTTGAATAGGTATTTCTCTGAAATCGAATACATATATTCTGTTCTTTCTGTTTCAGAGCTACTTATCTTTTTTCTGACTAGACTCTCCCATTCTTGCTTAACTGATAGTTCAGACTTGTCCGCTGTCATAGGAAATGGGATTTAAAGTGGTGCATTCTAAAAAAAGCATTGAAATAATTCAGTAGGTACTAAAAAAAAATCCTATGTTCAAATAATAATATACTTTAAAGTATATGTACTTACAGATCTAGATGTGTGCTTATTATTACAAGAGAGGATGCTGTTGCACTCAGGTCCTTCTTTGCCATAGTTGGCCACTGTGAGAACAGAGTGTTGGATTAAATGGGCCTCTGCTCTGATCCAGCGGATTCTCCTTACGTACTTAGATTGTTATTATTTATTGAATTTATATACTGCGCTATACCCAGAGGTCTCAGTGCGATTCACAAAATAAAATCAAAATATAAAACCACAAAATACACAATCAAAATAAAAACAACCAACCCAATTGTAATGATCTCTGGCAGACTCTATGGCAGTTTTATGTACGTTTATTAACAAAAAGAAACATCCAGAACATAGTTTCTCGCCTGCTCTCATTGATGATAGTTGTTCAGTCATTGCTGCTCCCACAGCAGGAAGGACGCCAAACTCCCACCTTTCCCCTCTTGCCCTTCCGTTGCCCTCTTATCCAGTCTCCTAGAAATGGGACTGAGAGGCTGCCCTCTGTACTTTCACTTGACACAGTCTCAGACCTCTGCTTATCTGCTGATTGCCTAGCAATTCTCTGGCTATCTTCCAACTCTTCCTCTTCTTGAGAGCTAACAGTGTCTTCCTCTGGAAGGGGAGTCGAACTGCCCTTTCTCGACTGTCAGCCAGTTCTCATCTGCAGTCTGTCCCTCTTCCACTTAGCTCAATTTCTGAGTCTGACTCTTCTTCCGTGCACTGGTGACCCACGTTCCTGACACCAATAAAGCCCCCCCCCACATTTTAAAAGGGCATAGGATGTCAATCAAATCAACCAAAGGCCTGGTTAAAAAGGACCATTTTTGCCAGGCACTTAAAGGTGTATAATGAAGGCACCAGGCGAACTTCTCTGTGGAGAGCATTCCACAGATGGAGCCACTGCAGAGTAGGCCCATTCTTGTGTTGCCACCTTCTGGACCTCTCGAGGAGGAGGCACACAAATAAGAGCTTCAGAAGATGATCTCAGAGATCCTGGAGAGCCAGTGTGGTGTAGTGGTTAAGAGCGGTGGACTCGTAATCTGGTGAACCGGGTTCGCTTCCCCGCTCCTCCACATGCAGCTGCTGGGTGACCTTGGGCTAGTCACACTTCTCTGAAGTCTCTCAGCCTCACTTACCTCACAGAGTGTTTGTTGTGGGGGAGGAAGGGAAAGGAGATTGTTAGCCGCTTTGAAACTCCTTAGGGTAGTGATAAAGAGGGATATCAAATCCAACCTCCTCCTCTTCTTGCGGTTGGCCTCATGGTGAGCCATCTCTTCAGTGTGTAGATTCTAATGCCATGTGCTCTACAGACGTCTGTGCTTGCTTGGGGTACCTTCTGTGCTGCAGTAGCTGAAGGATCTTTTAAGTCCCATCTATCTTTATAGAAATGTCACATTGCTGAAAACAAATGTTGAGCTCCATGCTGTTTTGAGATTTTGAGTTACATATTTAGGGTAATGCAATGTACTTTGCTGGCCACTGTCACTGCAACTGAGAGAGTGAGAGAGAGGTTTTTTTTTGTTATTTCATTTTAAATTTGCTTTTTCCCCAAGTACAATGCACTTTTATGGCTGAGGATTTGTAAGATGTGATTAATTGGAAACTACAGCACCAGCAAATGTATCCTCTAGTGAAAGAGAGCATCCTTGAAGATGCTCATTACAGCATTCTAGACGAAGATCTGTACAATGTTGACTTATCCTCATTTATCATTTTCATGAATTAGTTATTAGCTCACATTTCCTTTACATGTGTGTCTTTGTGAACTAATGAAGCCGTCTGACATAGTACAACTGTGTGTCAAGTAGAGATATGAACTCATTTGGAATAAAGTTTGGGACAATATGCAGGGATCTTGTGTCTTGGGAAAATATTTCTGCAAGTTAAATGTAAATGGAGAGGGGGAAGACGATGTTCTGAACTATCATAGAATTGTATAGAGTTGGCAGGGACCCTGAGGGGCATCTAGTTCCATCCCCTTGCAATGCAGGAATCTGAACTAAAGCATCCCCGACAGATGATCATCCAACCTCTGCTTGGGATGTTTTGGGACATCCCAAGATACCATTATAAGCCTGCAACCACAGAGCAGAAAAATAAATATTGAGAGACAGTAATTTTAAGACCCTTGTCCTGCTCTTCACGCCTGCCAACCTAGCAGTTCGAAAGCACCCCCGGGTGCAAGTAGATAAATAGGGACCGCTTACTAGCGGGAAGGTAAACGGCATTCCGTGTGCTGTGCTGGCTCGCCAGATGCAGCTTGTCACGCTGGCCACGTGACCCGGAAGTGTCTGCGGACAGCACTGGCTCCCGGCCTATAGAGTGAGATGAGCGCACAACCCTAGAGTCTGGCAAGACTGGCCCGAACGGGCAGGGGTACCTTTACCTTTTTTACCTGCTCTTCAGCATAATCAGTGTTATTTTGATACTAGCTGCTCTAGTTATCACATGTGTAATCTCACCGATAAACAATCTTCTCAAGAATTTATGAGCACTTCCTTTTAGAAATAAAACTTTGTAGCTATTTAACTCAAGAAACCTTTAATGCTGAGATGAGAAGAGATACCAAATAACCGTTTAAATACACACTTGAGGTGTACATTTTTAGGCTCCAACATATGTATTTATGTGTTTAGGAGTTGTTTTAAACTGTTTTTAATATTGGGTTTTTAATGTTGTTCGTGGTGAGTGGCCTGGACAGATTCCCAGGAACCTGACAGAGTTCCCTGGAGGGCCACAGTCAGACTCCAGGCCTAGGGTTCCACAACCTTGGTTGAGAGTTACAAACCCCAGGTTTATTTGCCTACCCCCCCCTTTCTTTGAGGTAGGCAGGAGGAGATCAGAACTTACTGCTGCTTTTAACTGCTTTTTCAGTTAAAAGTAGTTTGTTTTATCTAAACTCAAAATCATGTTTAATCTTAACAATGGTATGTTTACCTGTCATTCACCTGATGTCACATAACGTCAAGTGATTCAGCTTGAAAGGAGTGCACAAGCATGTATTCCCAGTTCTTCCTTTCGAGCTATAATGCAGCACTCTTAAAGTTGGCAAGTCTTTCTGTGGCAGCAGGTGCCCAAATTTACCTCTGCTCTGAAAGAACAACTACCAAGTTGGGGAGTTCAGTATTATATATATATATATATATATATATATATATATATGCTTTCGTAGATTTTCACGGGTACAGGAATGCAGGTTTTGGTGTCCTCGGGTGTCTTCCCGTGTAAAAGTTGGGGTGTCTAGGCGACGTTTCGACGAGGTCTCACTCGTCATCTTCAGGCTGGTGCTTTCGGCTTCTTGTTACTGGAACAGGGCAGGATCTCAGTGTTTGAGTTCCTATAAATACTGTTGAGGAGGTGTGGTGTATAGCCTCCAATGTTCTGGGCAGAGAGGAAGTTCCCAGGCTAGTGTGCCTTTTCTTCTTTTGTTCCTTAATTACTGGAGGGATATCTGGAGTGATTTCTTGAGTGATATCCTGAGTACCACTTGGGTGGGTCATTAGGTGTGGATTAGTTGCTAAAGCCTTCGTGTCTTGACCTCTTGAACTTGGCTTGAACTTGGCTCTGGCTTGGCTTCGTGTATAGGGGCGAGCTGTGGTTTTGTGGCCTGTGCCAGCCATATCTGTGTAGGGATTGCAGGGGGGTGCAGTATCCGGAGGTTCCACCATGGTTTGGCTACTGGATGGTGTCTGTAATTTATCTGTGGAGAGGGTCTGGGTTTGGGTCTGGTGTGGTTGATTGGTGATGGCGTTCTGTGTGCCTCTGGATCTGGTGTCGGTTTTTGTGGGGAGGGCTAATTTCCAGATGTCTGGCAAGCGGGATGTGTCGTCACGCTTGTTCATGTTGTGAGGGTGTTTCTCTATCTCGATGGCTTCCATGATTATTCTCTTGTGGTGATGTTCCATGTTAAAGAGCAATTTGGAATCTGCAAAATTAATTTCGTGTCCTGTTTCTTTCATGTGTTGGAAAAGAGAGGAAGTTTTTTCTTCTTTTTTGACGGCATTCTTGTGTTCTGCGATACGTGCATTTATTCGTCTGTTTGTTTGTCCAATGTACGTGGCTGGGCAGACTTTGCAGGGTATTTCATAGACCCCTTGGTTTTCCAACTGGATTCTATCCTTGGGGTTTCTGAGGATATTGGCTATTTTTTGGTTGGTGCAAAAGGCTGTTTTGATATTGTGTTTATGGAGGATTTTGCTAATTTTATCTGTAGTGCCCTTGATGTAAGGAAGGAGGGCCATGCCATTGTTTTCTTCTGTGTCTTGGTTTTTGGGGGGTGTTTCTTTTTGGATTAGCTTCGTAACCCTGTTTTGCTGGTATCCATTGGCGATTAACACATTTGAGAGATTCTGTAACTCAGTTGTCAAGTGGTCTTTGTCAGCCAGGCGTTTGGTTCTGGAGATGAGAGTCTTGGCTACGGAGTTTATTTGTGCAGGGTGGTGGTGTGATTGTGCATGTAAGTAGCGGTTGGTGTGTGTTTTTTTCCGGTAGATAGTGTGTCCTAGGGAGCCATCAGGTTTTTTGTAGATTAGGACGTCAAGGAAGAAGAAAAAACTTCCTCTCTTTTCCAACACATGAAAGAAACAGGACACGAAATTAATTTTGCAGATTCCAAATTGCTCTTTAACATGGAACATCACCACAAGAGAATAATCATGGAAGCCATCGAGATAGAGAAACACCCTCACAACATGAACAAGCGTGACGACACATCCCGCTTGCCAGACATCTGGAAATTAGCCCTCCCCACAAAAACCGACACCAGATCCAGAGGCACACAGAACGCCATCACCAATCAACCACACCAGACCCAAACCCAGACCCTCTCCACAGATAAATTACAGACACCATCCAGTAGCCAAACCATGGTGGAACCTCCGGATACTGCACCCCCCTGCAATCCCTACACAGATCTGGCTGGCACAGGCCACAAAACCACAGCTCGCCCCTATACACGAAGCCAAGCCAGAGCCAAGTTCAAGCCAAGTTCAAGAGGTCAAGACACGAAGGCTTTAGCAACTAATCCACACCTAATGACCCACCCAAGTGGTACTCAGGATATCACTCAAGAAATCACTCCAGATATCCCTCCAGTAATTAAGGAACAAAAGAAGAAAAGGCACACTAGCCTGGGAACTTCCTCTCTGCCCAGAACATTGGAGGCTATACACCACACCTCCTCAACAGTATTTATAGGAACTCAAACACTGAGATCCTGCCCTGTTCCAGTAACAAGAAGCCGAAAGCACCAGCCTGAAGATGACGAGTGAGACCTCGTCGAAACGTCGCCTAGACACCCCAACTTTTACACGGGAAGACACCCGAGGACACCAAAACCTGCATATATATATATATATATATATATATATATGCTTTCGTAGATTTTCACGGGTACAGGAATGCAGGTTTTGGTGTCCTCGGGTGTCTTCCCGTGTAAAAGTTGGGGTGTCTAGGCGACGTTTCGACGAGGTCTCACTCGTCATCTTCAGGCTGGTGCTTTCGGCTTCTTGTTACTGGAACAGAGCAGGATCTCAGTGTTTGAGTTCCTATAAATACTGTTGAGGAGGTGTGGTGTATAGCCTCCAATGTTCTGGGCAGAGAGGAAGTTCCCAGGCTAGTGTGCCTTTTCTTCTTTTGTTCCTTAATTACTTGAGGGATATCTTGAGTGATTTCTTGAGTGATATCCTGAGTACCACTTAGGTGGGTCATTAGGTGTGGATTAGTTGCTAAAGCCTTCGTGTCTTGACCTCTTGAACTTTGTGAAGAGTTTTTCTGAGAAGATGGCTGTACTGCACTTAGTTGTGCTCTGGCTTGGCTTATATATATAATCAGTGTACTCATGTTTATAAAGCACATTTTGTAACAACATAATTATATTTAAAAACAGCTTATTGTGTCACTAAAATAAACAAACATGAAGTCCTTTGTAACAATATTAGATGTGTTTTGACCATTACTTTTTAATCTACATCTCCAGTGTCACAATAATCACAATTTCATATATAAAAATATTGAAAGTAATATCCTGCCTCTTTGCCCAATATAGTATAATAACATCAATGGTATAATAGTGGTTATATTTGTAAAGTAGACAGAAACGGAATGTTCAAGGTAGTATGATTATGAAGAGCAGGCGGAAGAGATTGAATCTCTCTCTTTCTCTCTTACTATGTCTGGAGCACTCCTGCTTTTGCTCAGATGGATAAGTTGTCTGGTTAAAGAGGCTAGGGGAGAAAGTGGACAACTTTTGAATGTCATATTAGTTCAGAAAATAAGCCAATCTATTTCTAATTTGGGGGTGGGGGTGGGTGGGAGGTAGCTCGGCTTACTTTCTGAGCCAATGGTTGGGAGTTGATCCATCTCTATTGCTATTCTCATATTACAGATAGGAAGCTGGTATATAGTAGCTCATCTATGGCTATCTATTGAGTTAATAGATACCGGAAGATTTTTATTGGAGACTTGCTGATGAGTCATAAACAAATCTCTTAACTACTAACGATTGAGACTTAACATATATGCAACCAGATATGGGTCTGCTGCACTTTACCATTGATAATGAATTTTCCTCCTCCATCCCATTCATCTTAGAAAGCAACTTGCCAAGCTCGTAAAAGACGAATACTGAAACCATACGAACTGTTCCTTTTTTGTTTTGTTTTTAGGTACAATTTTGTCATGCTTGCTTTGTCCTTGGTTTTTCTGTGCATGTCCTATTTCTTGACCTATTGGCAAGGCAGCATAGGATTCATCTTTGCAAACTGCTTCAACATGGGGATCCGAATCGCACACAGCATCCGCTACATCCACAACTATTTTGCACAGACCCCTTATAAGCCTTTAAAGGGCCTCCTTATATCACCGTTGCTGTTGGTTGTTTATGTCATCTGCGGAGTGGCCATGGGCTTTTCAGAGGTGGGTAGTGCTTTTTCTTTGTGCTTTTGTTCTGCCAGAACAAGTGAATAAAGTAGTCCTTTTTTTGCTAGTAAGTAACCTGCAAGTTAGTTCCGGTTTATGATGTACACAGAGCATATCTACAGATATGCATAAGATATTGAAACATACCCACATGTAGAGAATTAATTTTTTAACGCTTTGAAATGTTATTTCTTTCTTTGTGTTATTTATTTATTTAAAAAGTTTCTCACTCAGTTTATCATAGCAGTGCACAACTTATTTTTACGCACACACAAAAATATAAAACTCAGTAGACATGAATGAGTGAGCTGATGATTCAAATGCTTGGGTGAATAAAATTGCTGGTGGAAACACTAATGAAGATGCTAATGAACAGTCTCTGAGGGAACACCGTTCTGTAAAACAGAGTGACAGAAGTTTGTAGAACCTAGACTAGCTTTTATGTGATTGTTTGGCCTACCTAAACTATCTTATAAACACAGGGAGGCTTTAATGGGTTGTAGTTTGGTAAGCATTGGTGCAAAAGTATTACTGTGAAGAGAATTACCAGGTCTGTCTTATCTCTGAATTGGAGCATGAACCATAACTTAAAATAATATATTTCTTAAAACAGTAAGTTAACATTCTGTCTTTCTTTCTTCGTAGGTGTTCCTGTGCTGTGATAAAGGGTGGCTGGCCAGGTTAATTCACGTTGCTGTAGGAGCACTGTGTTTTACAGCAACTCTTGCCACTATATTCTTCACAGAGACCAAGCTGATCCATTTTGTTAAGAAACACATTTTGTCAAGATATACCAAAGAAGTGCTAAAATAATCATGTACAGGCTAATTTCTGTACAGTGGTACCTCTAGATGCAAATGGGATCCATTCCGGAGTCCCATTCGCATCTAGAAGCAAATGTAACCTATGTTCGTGCTTCTGCGCGTGTGTGGGTCATGTTTCGGTGCTTCTGCGCATGCGCGTGATGTCATTTTGAGAGTCTGTGCATGCGCAAGTGGTGAAACCCAGAAGTAATGTGCTCTGTTTCTTCTGGGTTGCCGTGAAGCACAACTCGAACGCGCTCATCCCGAAGCACATTCAACCCGAGGTATGACTGTATATGAAATGCATATATTTGCTATGGAGGAGATATACGGAGAATTAAATACGTAACTACTATAATATACAGGTGATACTGTCCGTGAAACATACACAACTGATAACAAGGTAATTCACAGCAATTTAAGCTGATACATTTGTTCAAAACACCAAAATTACACCCGTGGCAAGCAACTTGGTAAGTTTACAGCGGAAGGTTACTGCTGCCCAGTATATGAATGCAAATATTACACATAAACTTCACTTGCGGAAGCCAGCTGGAAAGTACTGGGCATTACTCTTGTGATGCTACACTGATGTCACATTGAACTGTAATATACTTTAGAGACTGGAGGTGCACATCACTTGACTGCTTCTTAACTCTTGACAGTTAGTTTACTCCCAAATTTTATTCTAATCCCAAAACAAAAAAATAGTTAAGAACACTGGAGTCCAGCTATTTGCACTGGCCAGGGCGGAAGGTTTTTTTTGGGGGGTGGGATGGGGTGGATTTTGCTGTGGCAGCATGAGGCTGGTGCAGCAGAGAGATTGGATTAGGCCTATTTCTGGTAACAAACCAGAATGCCCCATTTGGGAGGTATAATCTGCTGGTACCTTTTGCTTACCTGCAGTTTAGGTGGGCCCAGCCAGGAGTTTGAGAGAGGTGGCGTCCCCCATGCCAGGACAACCGTGCAGAATGTGGTGGATGGGACAGCTTTGCCTCATCAAAACACCCTTCAGTTTGGTGGATTGCTGTGCTTAATAGGTAGTTTGTCTGAAATGTCATGTAGCCATGCAAAATTGTTGTTGGACTATGACGCATTTTAGGATTGAATTGCTTTACTTTATTGTGCCTGAGCCTGGAAGGCACTATAAAAGAATTTAAATTATTTTTTTTGCTGCCCTTATAAGATTATTGTAATCTAGACAAGCATCTCTGGCCCCTGTAAAAAGTGCTGTTTGTAGCACATAGCTGCAAACCCCTTAACTACATTGGGACCGCTGAAGAAAATGAGATATTTTTTCCATGTATTCTATATCTCATGATTTACCAGTAATTCTTAAAACAGTTGTTAGTAAAAATGGATAGAAGAGGCATAAAATAAGCATAGGAGATTTTTCCTCATTTAAAATTAGGATTTTCATATATTGATGCCTTAACTATTTTAAAAATAGTTTTGAGGGCTGCTGTAAGCTAATGTTTTGAAAGCCTTATAGGGGAACAGGAAGATTATCTGGAGAACTGGTAAATACAAAAGCCAGAATACAGTATTACAAGAATATATATGGACAAATAAGGTTTGTTGTCAGTAAAGCTGAAACTTGAAAAGTATTAAGAACATAACTGTTTACTATAAACATCTCTTATTTTGTTTAACGCAAACAAATCAAGCCTAAAAGCGACTGTTCCTATTTCCTTCAGCTTGAGGAATTGCAATGTATAGGATTGCACTATAAAGGCCTCATCACGCCTAAATTTTGAACAAGGCTATAACAAGTGTGTGTGTGATATGGTAAGAGTGTCAGCCGAATCATATTCTGCACTATAATGAGACTATGGTTGAGGAAGTATGTTCTATGATTTACAATTAGAAAATGGTTCAGCTGTCTGTTTTGAAAACTGGACATGTAGGAGACATAATTTGAGGGTGGTCCATACAAAATTTGGGGAAAATTATTATTATTATGAATGAGTTAAACATTTGCTAAGAGAGTAGCATGTTGACAGATGCTGTGCATTTTTCTTTTATGGACTATGCTAGGGTATTTTTAAAAATAGCCATTTGTACTGCATCTTGTACTGGGGAAATGGTTTATTGTATTAGTTTAAGGGGCACATCTAGTATGTGCTGTTTTGACAAATAGTACTTTTGGTATGTAGTTTTTTTTCTTATTGAAGAGACATTTTTCTGGCCAATGTTAGTCAATAGACTTGATTATTCTGCTGTTGCCAGGTAACAGTTTTTGGCCAATCTTAGCCTCAGAAAGTACAGAAGCTTGCTGTTGCTAGGCGAGATTCACACAGACCAGGCCTCAGCCTTGAAGAGTTGTCCAAAATGTTAACAGTTAAACCAACAGGTTGTTTAATTGAATGTATTTTTTTTATAATATATGTTTTCTAGTATGTTCATGAAATGTTCTGTGGAATCAGGATTGACTTCTGTTCTCTGCTCATAAGTATGCATACATTGCCGATTCATTGTTTCAAAAAATGTCAGAAACAAATTAAAAGGTTTCTATAGAGGCAACACCCTTTTTTAGTTAAATGTATAATTTGTTTCCAGAGTTTGCAACTGTTTGTTATCTTGTATGGCAGGGATATACATTTAAGAATGCAGTAAAGTTGTAGGGGGCCAAAACATACCTGTGATTGTAAGCTGTGATTAATGAAAGTGAATGGGTCTGTTCTTCTTTGTTGTTGGTTAAAACTGTATGTCTTTTGGGTTGCTGGATTTTAGAAATTCTGCATTCCTTTCACTGTAATTCTAAACACACTAATGAGCAGGCTTTGTTGAATGCCATGGGATATACCTCTGGACAAACATGCTTAAGATTGCAATGCAGGACCCAAAATGAGTAAAACATTATTTTATTAAATTTAATGTTAAAATTGAATAAGTCCTTAAATTTGTACTTCTGAAAGAAAAACATCCTTGGTTGCTAACTTGGGGGTGTGTGTGTGTGAATGTAAAAGTGCTAGTGGAAAGCACACTTGGTAGCAAATGTCAATCAACTTGTGAGGCAGTTGCTAAATGTATGGTGTTGAAAGATGCTTTCTTCATTGCTATCTTTGACCCATTGACTCATTTACAGGCACACTCCTCATTCTGCCTTGTAGGGTCATGTGTAGGCACTGCACGAGTTGTAAATCAAATGTTTAAATTATTTAATTTTGATTAATTTTCCCATGTAATCTTACCTACAAAAATCCATACCACAGCAAATACGTATCCTACAAGATAGACTAAACAACACAAACTGCCTCTCTGGAATTAGTTTTAACATTTCTCCAAAGTTTAATATAATCTGAATACGTATTATTGAAGCTCTGCCTTATAAAACAAAAAGTTGGAATATTTTATATTCTGAAAGTGAAGGCAAGTCTGGTTCTATTTTCTTTCCTGTCTTAATTTTATTATAATAAAAAAAGCAAATCTTACTCTGTTTTGATAACTCTTTGTAGTTCATATAGATCTCCTTCTCCAAAGATTCCAACTGTGGTCTATAAAGAAACTGTGGTCTCGTAATTCCTTAAAATGGGAATCAGGCCAGATGTTGTTGAACTACAACTTACATCACCTCTGGCTATAGTTGCTGGGGCTGGTGGGATTGTAGTTCAGCAGCATCTGGAGGGTTACATTTTTCACACTCATGCTATAAACTATGGGAGGCATTCACCCACCACATCCTATTAGCATTAAGGTTTCCAGTTGTGTAGTAGGACTTCCCCCCCTCTCCTCCCCATGCGTGTGACTTGCACCCTCTGAAAATCTGCCCCAGAGGGTTGGGGGACCCCAGAAAAGATTTAGGGAGAGGAGATGTGAGAAGAACATGCAATTGCACAAGGAGAAATCCTTGCACTGATGGAAGCAGAGACTATATTGGATCCCCCCCCTTTGGAGTGTTGAAAGAAGAAGAGTTTGGATTTGATATCCCGCTTTATCACTACCCGAAGGAGTCTCAAAGCGGCTAACATTCTCCTTTCCCTTCCTCCCCCACAACAAACACTCTGTGAGGTGAGTGGGGCTGAGAGACGTCAGAAAAGTGTGACTAGCCCGATGTCACCCAGCAGCTGCATGTGGAGGAGCAGAGACGCAAACCCGATTCACCAGATTACAAGTCCACCGCTCTTAACCACTACACCACACTGGCTCTCCAGTGTGAAACTGGCTCTTCAGTTTAAACTGAAAAACAGTTTAAACAGTTTGGGGGAGGGCTGTGAAGTATTTATCCTGTGGGCAGCTATGGAACTGAGGCTAAAGTTCTAAATGGAAAGAACATGAAATAAGACAGAGCAGATACTGGGTTGAAAGGCAAAAAGCTTAGATAAACAAGAGTGAAAGGAAACTGAGGAAAGAGGAAAAGACTGCCTGCAGTCAGGACAATGGAAGTGAGTTGGTAAAAGATTTGGAAGGCTGCAGACCAAGGAGGGGATGAGGGACGAGCATTGAATTTCATGTATTTTGATTCCAGACCTGTAAAACAGATGATTATCAGACTTTTCTCTGTGCCATATGTCTGAAAAGAAATTTGGGCTTAATAATAATAATTAATATTATTATAAAAATTGAATGTTGGACAGAAGGAAATGTGTTTCATGAAATTGAGAGGTGAGAAGGTTCCTGTGATTAATTTGCTTCATCTGTCACTGTTCAGTTATTTCATGGCCATCAGTTCCATCATTTTATGTAATTTTTCGATCAAAAAGCCATGGAATATGAAGAGGAATGCAGCAATAATTGAGCAAATGGATTAATTAACAAAATGCTCTTCTGATAGGTACGTTAAGAAGTTTGCATTAAAGCCCTTCAAAATGACGGAAATTGGCTCAAATACTGTCCATTGTTTATATGTCTCTGTTTTTACATGGTCAATTCATGAAGATGTTTACATTCTACTGACTTTGCCCTTGGCAAATGTTGTTCTTGGAGCAGTGAGCCGATTTGCAAATAGAAACCATCTGGCTCTGCTTTGTGGATGAATGGGTGTTAAGGAACAACCCCTACCCTTAATTTTAAAAGGCCTTTTGATTTTAAAAGAACTTTCAAGGTAACAATGCCTTTTTGAAAGGCTGATTCTGGACCTGAACTAAAGTTGGTGGAGCGAAAATTGCGCCACCTGGGTAGACTGGTGCTAAGAGATTAGAGATGGGGGTTGGGAGAAAGTTATTGATCAGTGTTGGTTTTGTGATCACTCCTGTCTTTTCAAGGTTGAGTAGACCTACCAACTAACTGCACTTGTAAAGGCAGGAGGGTACTGGATAGACAGGATCCTACTTGCAAATGGTTTGTATGAGTCCAGGAGCCACTGTTATAGCTAACAACAATGAGATCTTAAAGAATCTGAGCTTATGGCAACAAATGGATTAAAATATTAGAGGCCAGAGGCTCAGGTCAATGTCTAAAAGCAACAACAAGATTTGAAAGGGCCAGAGGTAGACACCAAGACAGGCCACTGGTTGAGTTCTAAGGTAGGGGCCAGACTTTCGTATAAATTATCCTCATGATTATTCTTTCTTGGGCAGTTTTGATGACTAGAAAAGAAAGAGCAACCAGGCTTTTATTGTTGGTGTACAGCTCATGCACTCAGTTTCCAAGACATCATGGACCTTATATTATGGCCATACTTATTTTCCAGTCCTCTTTATGTCATGCCTAAACATCAAAAACATTGGGATTAGACAACAAAATACATAACATCAATGTGGTTGCTATAAGTTATAAATGTCCTTAGAAAGGACATCAAGCCCACTGGAAGTATTCTTTACAAATGTTCCCTGAATATTTTTATGTGCAAATTCTGGTGGATTGTGGAAAGTAGAAATAAAAAATGAATGCTTTTCAAAATTTTAATAAACTTTGCACGGATGGCTTACGTGCTTTCAGTTTTTGATGCCAAGTTGAAACCTCTACATTCCAAATTCTGTTTAATTACTCTCTTGTATGTGACGGACTCACTAATCCTTCTGTGTTCTGAAACTGTTCACTAGGAGAAAATGCGTTACAAATGCAGCCCTTTGTTCTGTCGAACTGTCAGCTGAAGTGAGGCTGAGTACAGCTAGAAGCAGAACATGTGCTAGTTGAGAGCTAATTACTAATGAGGACGAGAAGTGGTTTTTTTAAAATAAAGAAATAACAATGAACCTTGCTGCCTGGAAGTGTTAACAAGAGAAAACAAATAATTTCTTACAAGGTGAGAGGAATTGGCTTAATTTGTGGGAAGCAAGGGCCTCTTTTGCTACCCTTATGTAGCAGCATCAGGGTATGTGTGGTCAGCATGCAATGTGTTCTTCCACCTGGAGGAAAGAAAAGCCCTGCTGAATCAGATGAAAGGCCCATCCCATCCAGCATCCTATTCCCAGTTTTCCACACTGGCCAACCAGGTGCCTATGGGAAGCCCCCAAAAGGACAGGAGCACACATCACTCTCTTTGTTCATGTTCCCCAGCAACTGGCATTTTGAAGCATACCACTTACATTACTAGCAGTAGTACATAGCTATCATGACTTAATACAGTAGCTACTAAAAGACAGATTATTAGAGCATAAGGCTAACCTTTGAAAATGAACCATGTTGGTGGCCGTCACTCTGTCTTGTGGTAGGGAATTCCATATAGTTCAGGCATAAGCAAACTTGGCCCTATAGATGTTTTGGGACTACAACTCCCATCATCCCTGACCCAGTGGGAGTTGTAGTCCCAAAACATCTGGTGGGCCAAGTTTGCCTATGCCTGATCTAGTTTATCCACTGTATGAAATACTAACTGCTTTTGTCAACTCTTGAGTCTTACAAGATTCCGTGTCCTTGGCTGGCCCGAGTTCTATCATCATGAGAGAAGGAGAAAAAACTTGCCCTCCACCTACTTTTTCGAAAATTTTATAGACTTCTATCACATCCCTCCTTACTTGCCTTTTTTCTGAACTAAAAAGTTCCAAACGTTGCTCGTTTTGGTTACCTTTTCTGAATCTTTTCCTCTTCTTTGGCATAGTAGGCCCTACACCTATTTCTGTTTCCACAGGAAACAGAAATAGGTGTAGGGCCTACTATGCCAAAGAAGAGAGTGTGTGATTTAGGCCCTCACAAACACCTCTCTCTCTCTCTCTCTCTCTCTCTCTCTCTCTCTCTATATATATATATATATATATGATAACTCACTGCCCTTCCATCCTCATCTGATTCACACACAGACTGCTGTGTCTACAAAGTATCTTGTCTTCTAGCTTGCTCACAGAGGTGAAGAATCACGTCTCTCACACAGTATGATGGAAATGGCACCTGAGCAGACTCACAACAGCAGCATTATGCAGCACACAGATCCGTGATAATATTTATCTATCTGAGTCACGATGCAGGAGTAGGAGGGAAAGTTCAGAACTGGATGGAAATGGAAGATATCCCAACAGTTTCCTCATTCCCCCCCCCCCACTGCCTAGTGGCATGCTCACTTATGAGACTCACCTTGTGGGAATGCTGAGATAGCGAGCGCCTGCTCTTGTCAGGACCAGTGAGTTTGCTTCCATCTGAGGAAGCAGTACCTGCTTTTAGGCACCTGGGGACACCCTGCAGTTCTGGCTCTGGTTCAGACATTGCTTTCTGTTCAGCTTCCCCCTCACTTGCTCAAAGGCCTTCCCAAAATCCACTGAGGCTCTGTGCTCTGCAGGAAGGTTTGAGGGGCAGCCAGCATCCCTGCTCTCTCCTAAAGCGACTGAAGTCAAGGTGGAAAGGAGAGATCCTTCTTCCTCCAACTTGGGCTTCCACACTTCCATCCCAGTTTGTTTCTTCCTCCTGTAAACCCAGTCTCAGTCCGTACAGCGCTGCAGGCTTCTACACAATTCTGCTTCCAGCGGCCATTTCTAAGGTTTATTGATTTTCAGATTTAGGTCCTGTGTTGCTGCTGTTGTAAGCAGTCAACCAATTTGGCTCTTGCTTTTTTAATTTCTTGCAAGCTGGCGTTGGTCTTGAGGTGCTATCTTTCAACATGAGTGAGCCTGCTTGTTCAGAAAATAGAAGGGAAAATTGAACGAGGCACGTCAATGTCTCACAAGCATTTATCTAATGCTAGTGTGAATTCCAGTGTGTGATTTTTACTTGACATGGTAAAGTTTATATAACGATTGAAACACAGGACATGAAAATGATGTGCTGTGAAATCACAGGGCACTAAGCAAAAACACTGTTCCGGAAACAAATTGCTTCAGCCACCAGAATTGGGGCTGGGATGCTTAAGAATGTTTGCCTAATCATTTTCATCAGTTTCGTAAATTGCTTCGGCGGGTTTGTTTAGGTTTTCCTGCAGCTGTGAATTAGGCTTTAGAGGGCTGGGGAGAGAAATGCAGCAACCAAATATAATGTTGCTTTGTCACTAAAGCACTCATAGCTGCCCATGAATGCGGCTTGGAAAAAGAAGAAGAAAGAAGGCAATGACACCATATCTGGTTTG